GAAGGGTGACATGAATCATGATGAGGAACGTTTTACTCTGTAACTTTGTAAATATTTATCGTAGCCTCTTCATTTTTTATGTAAAACTAATAGTAGGCTACATATTGATATATAATACACCCTCCCGACCTTTCTAAAAATATTTTTAGTGCCATTAATCATTTGAAAAGAGCTTCTGAACGGCCAAAAGTGGTCCACCCCCCCCCCCCCCATTCCCGGTTGAAGTGGGACAGTCGGGGGGAGGGGTGGGTCAAAACTCTCAAATAGACTACAATCACAATGTTTGCATGTGATTGTCCCAAAGTAGGTGCTGGAGATATTAAAGGTATATAAATCACTTAAAATTAGAAAACTGTTACAGTCGCTTGTAAAAATTACGATACTACCCCTTGTACAAATATTGGATGTACATTTTTGTCACATTTATCTTAATTTCAACATTTTTATAGAGTTGAGTTGAGTTTGAGGTTGAAGTTTTATTATCCAAACAAAAAGTACATCAATATAACAATCAAATGTGAATGTTTAACATTGAAAGGATAAGTGGGACCAGAAAATAGCATTAAATGCTAATCGTGTCAAAATATTTACATACTGCTACAGTCGTTCACAAAACTGACGACACTGCCCCTTGCATAAATATTGGATGTACCGATGAGCATTTTTATCTTTATTTCAACATTTTTATAACATTTATACTGTGTTTGGCACACCCAAGTTTTGTCTGAAATATTATTTTTAACAATCTGTAAACGGGAAGTACCTTATATAAGTTTATAAAACTTTTAAAAGCATAATTGCTCTATGTTTATACAATATGCCTATAAATTATGACTGGCTCAACTTCACCTTCCTAACATACACAACATGTAACTGGTGTAAAATGGGACGACAGAGTGTCCCAGTTCAACCCAAACAGGAGAAACATATATAAACAGGACAAAATTATATATATTTTTAAAATAATTTTTATCATCAATAAATATTATTGCTAATTATTGGGTCATAACAGCCTCTGTGTATGCATAGTGTTTAGGACAGCTGAGCGGCATATACTGGTAAAACATTTGACGGTGAACGCCGAAAAACAGAAGTAAAACAAAATATCGTCAAAAAGTGATAATTAAACCCACGTGCAAAATCATGGAATAGCTGTAGATGTATTTGTGAACATAAACAGTAATAATCTTTCATAGGAATTAAACATATTCATAAAAGTTTCATTACTTCTTAAAACCACACTTTACTACTTGTATCTATACTTGCTCCCTCTATATAGAAAACAATGCCTAATCGGTGACCATTGGTCCCCCGTGATCCTCTTTTTCATATGTTGATTGAGAGCTGAGTTGATGAGAAAGCCACCTGTCAGTGACCACCCTGGGTGGTCTAATCCCTCCTAGCCAAACTAGTACAGACGGCCTTTAAGTCAGATGAGGTGTCCCACTTCTCCCGCGTCTCAGTTCACCTCGTTATTCCCTACTCATTTACGACAAAGCACTCTCATAAAATGTGACATTGACATGACATGTAGGACGCATTATTGATAAATCAGTTATGACATGATTTTCGACCTTGTTTGATTCCTTGATACAGTAGACAATATAAATGAAACATGAAGTTATGGTGCACTGCTTAACATTTTTAGTATGTCTTCGTTTGTTTAGACGAATAATCTTACGCGATGGTTTTCCAAATATTGCGTCAGTTTTTCAAATTGTTGTCCCGTTGCATCCTTTTAAAATGTTAACGCTTTTACTTAAGTTTACTTTATCATTACCTAGCTAGTTTATAATGCAGAATATTAATAATGCAGGGTACAATAATTACAGCCATCGTGGGATGCTATAAACAGGAGCGCGTCAAATGAGGGCAGGGGAGGGATAAAAGGAACTATAAGTTTTCTTTCTTTCGTTAACCAATTATGCAGGAAACATATGACTACCCCCCCCCCCCCCCCGACTAAGACGGAATTTAAAATGAAATAGCGACATTATTATGTGAATAAAATATAAAAATATAAATTGCTTTTAATTTAGGTTGGAAATATAGTCATGATTCTGTTTTCGAGAATACTGGACCCAGTCGAGATGATTGGCTACAAGTTGATGGCCATTCGTAAGACCAATTTTATGTCACATGATTTGCAGCTGATTGTGAACAGTACTCCGACTGGATGGCCTACGTCACCCCGACATTGTTGATTATGATTATGATTATGAAGAAGCAATTTACTTATGTTAATGATTGGAGTTATTCCTCAAATATGATTTGGGTCCTAAGTTTTTTTTTAGAAGAGTCGAGATGGCTCAGTGGTAGATCAGTGGTCTCGTATAACTGGGAGGTCCCGGGTTTGAAACCAAGATGATTCGCCAGTGCCCTATGGTAAGGCATTAATCCTTATTACCAAGTCCCTTGGAGAGGACTTAAAGCCATCGGTTCCCCGGTTGTTTACAAGCATACACATATTTTTCTACCAGCCATAGGTAAACTATAAACCATCAAATTTAACCAAACTAGTTCATGCTATATAGGTTCGGGGCTAGGAATAAGTGTAGTATTGGGTCCACGTTAAACTAGTAATGTGTCATACAGCCGTTCATATCTGTCATCATATCTGTCACTGGAGCATGTATCGTAGTATTATATAGAACCCTCCTTGCAATATATTCCGAATAGTCGTAGCCCAGTCGTACGGCAATTATGGTGACCTCAAATCCTGCGGATTTATATGCCACTGTGATGATAATAAGTGCGCCTAGAAGTGTTCCACTATCGTCGGAAGATATCATTGTATTATAATCCTATAACTCTTCTGTAATATCTTCCAGAATCTAAGTCGTAGCACTGTCGCACGGCATGCCATGACATCAAATCCCGCGAAGTTACGCCACTGTGTTGATAAAGATAAGTGCGCCCAGAGGGAGAGTTTAAAGTGTAACCCCTTGACGAAGATAGACGTCAAGGCCATTACCGTCTCATCTTCGGTGCGTTGTCATTCTAGCACAGCCCCCTGCTGTGAAATGTCGCCCCCTATCGCCCATACCGCCGAGAATAATTAGGGTGTCTGAATAACGTCTTCCCCCTCCACTGTTGACATGAGTAAGGTATATTTTACAGGTTAGCTGTACTGTTAATGTCATCATAAAGGGGTAGAAGGAAATGATACAGAAAAGATAAGATTACAAAGTAAAACAAACTTCATGTATAAAACGTCAGCCCCCCCCCCCCCCCCGTGGCGTATCCAGGAATTGAATGGAGGGGCGGAATAAGCATGGCGTATTAAGGGAGGCCTGGTGAACGGTCCTCTGGAAAATATTACTAAACGTAATGTGTTTTCAGCCATATTGGGCCTAACTCTTGCAATCTTAACACACGGTCTCAAATTCTATAAAGTTTTTCCAACTTTATTTGTTTGTAATTGTCTTGATCTGCACATGGGAGGGGGTAAACCGAGTTTAGCGTTTTGCCGAGTACGTCTTTTATTCCCTCTCCTGACCCCACAGACAAGGCAGGGAAATAGAAGAATAAAACTTAATAATATACCTTAAAAAAACCTTAAAATGCAAAATGCGAAAAAAATATTGTGTAGGTTTTGGGCGTTGTTCATTATTACCTTTATTCAATCTATGACTTATTGTGAATTAACTCGTTTTATGTTCCTTTATTATGATTCGTGGGTGTTCATGTTTGCTTAATCATAAATAACATTGATAATGAACTGCAATTACTGTTTTCTTTGTTGACTAAGTTTATGTTCACGTATTCTGAATCCAAATTGTTTTAACTATGATCCATATTGTTCACTTCACTATACACGTTTCTTGAAGAAAAAAGTATGTTATCGTTGTCAAAAAATATAATCCTAAAACACATTGTTGGTCTAGTATTGTATAAAATCAAGATGAAGTAATGATTTCTTTAATAGCCCTCCGTTTTTCCTAACAGATTGATCAATTTATTCTCAATTTTCCCATTAAAATAATTTGTTGAATCATTAACTGATTAAAAGGACTAATGATCACATTATCTGTCATTAGGATTAATGTGTTGATGCGGCGTATGATTTCAACAAAATAAATGGACCCGCTGTTGAGTCTTTGTTATAGCGTAACATGTTATTATGTTCAGGGTTGTTTTCTTATTTGCTTCATCATTAGGCGCTGCACATGCTGCTTAATGAGTTCTGGGTCAAACTCGGGTTAATAATTCCAATGTTCTTTCGAAATTATCAACCCAGACTGCGTGCCTAGTAATTTACCTCTCAAATTATGTCCCCCTTCCGTGTTCATTACAAAATTCTAAATCCATGCCCAAAACAGTGTGGTGTAAGGTATTAGGTCCATTAAGTAGCCTTGCTGCATGTGCAAACGCTTTCCTGCATAGCCGTCCAATTGGCCAGCGACTTGGGATTTTATAAGCTCTCCGGTGGAGTAATTATTTGATATTACACGAAAATGATTCGCGCCACAGATCAAGCGGGTTTCTAATTTTTAAAGAAACTCACCGCATTCCTCTGCTAATCTCGACGCAGTGTGGGGCTACGCGTAAGCGGTGCAATGCCCATAGCGACCCTAATGAACGAACTATTAAGCTCGAAATACATATCATGAAGTGGTTATGATTTTAATAACTCTAGACCAGGCCAAGCGGGGAAGGAAGGAGGTCTTTTCTGGTGGCGGTCCTCTCCTCACTTTTCTTTTTGTTCGTGAGGTGTACCGACTGAGAGTCGACAGCCAATAAGAAGCCGGTAAAGACCTGACCGTTTGGGTTGCTCCTCCCCCTCTACTCAAACAACAATTCGTCAATGGATGCATTTACCCTCTGAATTCGCCTTCGACACGCATTAATAATTCAGAACCATCAAACTCTTTCTCTTCCTCTCTTTCCCCATTAATATGAATTTGCCTATGAAAAGCCCGTCCCAGCCCCCGTTTCTTTTTTCCCTTCTCTCTCTCTCTCTCTCTCCTCGTCTTATGCCTTCCTTGTTCGGGACTTGGGGAATATTTTTTTGTGAGACCTGATCGGGGTAACACTTTTGAGAGGGATCTCATTGGAACAAAAGTCACTTGCGAGGAAGGACCTAATAACGGCTTTATCCGCTGCTCAGCTATTTGCTCTGACTCTCACCCTCTCTCCCTTCTACCTCCTATCTCGACCCACTGACTGAGATTTTCAGGGGTTTTCACTGGGACATATCAATCGAAGACCCTGCATTTTTTTTTCTTCAGGAAAACAGCCGTTTGCCCCCTTTCCTGCAAACCGATGGTATGGCAAGTCTCCCATCTGGATTTCTACTGTTTCCGCAGAGTTAATATTTCACACTTGATACGGTTGATATTCGCTCGGAACACTTATGCTTCGACGTGAGAATGAGAAAGTACTTAAATGCGACTTTCTACAACTTCTAACATTCGTGAAGACACATTTTGGAATTAACTTCAGTTCGAGTATTCTTCAGTGAACATTGACCTTCATGTATCTCGTCCAAAGGACAGAACTTAAAAAGCCTCAAGAAATCACGGTGTTCTGTCTTGGAATAGTCGCAGATGAAACACTTCATTAACAGAGATAAAGATAAAGATTTATCGGGGAACTGATTGATAAAACCTGTCGACTACTTTGGCCTGCAAAACCAGTCTGTAGGACTGTATTGTTTAATGCATTAACATATTTGTTGGCTTGAGCTCATTTGTGTGTTGAACATTGTTCCTTCAAACTTATGAAGTACCTTGATGGTAACACTCGAAGCCAGGTTGTGATATCAGCACATTGACAAGCTGAAACAACTGTTTTCGAGTATCACCAGTATTCCATGCAGACACACAGGAATTGTGCAAGAGTTTGTGACTCAGTAATATCATCGTGCCAGTCTTTACCATTTTTCTCCTTCAGCGATATATTGCATTCGCAACAGGTTGGCAAACTATCGGAGTGTCTCTACATGAACCATCGACGGCAGATCACCGAATTGCACGGGATTACCTCAAGTGCATGTGCGATCACAAAGTAGCTCTTCACTTCAGCAGCAGCTCAAGCTCTTCAGTAGCTCATGCTAGCTCATCACCTTAATTCGTTGGAGATCATTTTTGTGAGGTCCTAAGATACTTGGAAATTTGTCTCGGAGAAAGTTTTGAACCACCTTGAAGCTGCCCTTCGATCCCTCGTGTTTGAAAGCTTTACCTGATAGCTGCGGCTACATGGAAGCTTGTTATACTGGCTCACTGTAACCCCTGGCTTCTGATAGGGCTACATGGAACATGGCGCAGAATGAGGATGACTACTTTCTCCATGTGAGTTTAACCTTATTTTTTCTTTAAGTTTTCATCCAAATTATTCCCCTATTTGTTTTTAGATTTCAGTGACTTAATTCACCATAGGATCGTCATATTGGTGTAATCTATGAAATGTCTTAATATAGCACTTTTGCTTGTACGTGTACGTTAATGTCCCCCGACTGTGCTTAAACAATCCTCGTTGGTCAGTGTCACTGGGATAACGATTCCATGATGCTCTGTATATATTGTTTGAGCGAATCATAGTTCACAAGAAGTATTGTAATGCCCTATTAAAGTATGATAAAGTATGATGAATCTGAGATTAAGTCTTGATACGCCCTTTTTCGAATTGTACGTTTTGATGTTCTATACATAATTTTATAGTGTTGAAATAATTTCCCTTTTCAGTCATTGACATGGTGACTCCATACAGTCAAAACGAGGACTCTTCGTACACTCTTGAATTAATTGTATTGCACAAGATGTCTTTAAAGTGCCTTTTGAATATGGTTAAGCGTTTTAGCTAATTTGAAGTGATATTGAACAAATCTATGCGCACTTTCGACATCGTGACTCCACAGAATATAGAAGGTGAGATAGAGATTACCAATAATTGTACATCGGCGTCAACAAGCAACTCTAGACTTAATCACAGTGTCATTAATGATGTGAAATTCATTAGAGGTAATCACCAGTCCTTTGTTACACCGAGATAACACTGATTGTAATCTATCCTAATTGAACAAAATTGAGATTAATGACAAATGTCTACAGAGATGAATTTCTTAATTTCTCTCACCTCTTTTGTGCCGTAGAACAAATATTTTGCCTTCTTTGTATTTGTTTTATAATTAAGACCATATTGCTAATGGGTTCGACTAAATTTAGCGAGATATGAGATTACTATTAAAGCGAATACTTTTGTCTTATATCATGGTGTTCATGATTAATTGCCTAAGGGGGAGATCATAAACGAGGAGTAATACAATATTATTATAGATATTTCCAGAAGGTTGCAAATCGGCTATGATTGGTGGAGTCTGCAGCTTGTGCATCTCAATAGTAAATCGAACTTACTTTATCCAAGTATACTCTAAGATAATACAAGGTCTATGTACCTATTATCCTGGAGGGGGGGGGGGGGGGCTTGAAGACTGAAGAAGAACAGGGGGCTGCCTGATTTCTCCGTGAATAAATGATGTAATCTGTGCTGTGAATTGCTAACTAGTTTATTCGCTTTGATGGGCTTAAAGTCACGTCCTGACTCATGTTCCAATAAAGTGCACACCAAAAGTATTGCGGAAAGAATGATGAAACTACCATCATGGCCTCTTCTATTCTAGTGCAATTTCTAGTTACACTAAATATGCTGTATGGTTATAGACCGAAAATAGGCAACATCAAATTCTGTGAAGAGTTCGGTTCAGTTCTTCATTTCGTCGCACTCATGAGCTTTACAACCTATTAACAAAATACGAATTCATCGATTGGCTTTCACCAGTCAAGATGCTTACATTTTCAGTGATATTTTTTTCTCAGAAAGTTTGATTCTTCATCTTTGTACTACGTCAGAACTGAGGTTCTCTTCATCAGTATCCGATTAACTACCAATTACCTCAAGAGCGACGAGGTGCTTAGTTTCTTGTTGTAACAAGTGTACAATCTACAGAGTGCACGAGCTTTACGGTCTTCCTTCGTCTTGCTGTATACAAAGTCAAGTGCGGATTGAATGACATGGAGTGGCCTTGTCGATCGTTACAGACATGAATCACTCTAGCCCACCCACTCTAGGAGAAGCCATGTCATCCTATGTAGCTTCTATTTAGAGAGTACAATCACCCCTAATTGGGATACATTCTCCCCCGATTCAACGGTCATTAGGCCCCCCTTATAACCAACAACGCTGATCCCCTCACCCATTCAACGAGTAATCCTCATTAGTTGTAAAAGACGGTCTAGGGACCTATCGGGAAGTCATCCCCAAGTGCTCCTATTCATCAAGGGTTAAAAGAGCAAAGGAGATAACCGAACGCTTGACTTTCACATTTCGGCACTATACACGGTACTTAAGTCGGACAGCGAGCGAGGCACTCAAAGCTTGTTCAGAAACTCGTCGGATTGGGTCGTTAACGGGAGAAAAGGGATTTGCCAAGTTTACTTGTCCGTTAATGCTTTGGCGTTTAATACTACTTGATTGCTTCCCTGACAGGTTCAATACAATCGATCTTAACAGAGCTTTGCACAATTTTGATTTGTGTTTATCAAAACGATATAATATCATTTAGACAGTACACAACTTTTATCTCTTATTGTTCAAGCCAGCCTGTTCGTCATTATAATCTTGTCAATATCATACACCTTCTTATCGTGGTATAATGTAAGGGTAGGCCATTTCTGCAAAGAAAAAAATAACGGAAGTCCAATTAATTAATACTTTTGTTTGTTTGGTGCACTGGAACCCTAAAACTGTTTCAACGTTCCAAGTTGCACATTGGGCAACATGTTTGGCCTCGAGGACTTGTGTAATGTTAGCAGTATACATGATTGAATCTTTCACAGAACGTGGTGCCAATAATTGTTCCAAAAATCACGTACCATTTATGTCAGTGACTCTTGTATATAGAAATATGATAATGTGATCCCTCTTAACTCACATACATACACAAAATAAAGATTCGTTCAGATAAGTCTGTGTAACGGTTTACGCACGTCAACAGCTAAGAAAGTTGATAACTGAACATATTGTCACATAGTTGTTCAATGTCGTTGCTTGGATCAGAGGGATATCATAACCCCATTCAAGTGTAGTTCATTGATGATGCTGAGGTGTGAAAGGGGTATAGCTAAGGGATGAGGAAAATGATAGGAACACTCTGGTCTTCTATGTATATGCGGGTAACTAGGTATTAATGTCATCATACGGACCATCATTATGCCATTGGACGGTTATTTAGTTACGAATGTTCTTGTGAATTTTGCATTTACCAGCGTATTGACACTCCGCGGATACCTTGAATTAAAGGTTGCTTTAGACGACGGGATAGTTTCATTTGACAGATTTTCACCCGACATAGCAACAATTAATGTATACCACGTGGAGCACCCGCAACTAAGAGAGACCTTGGAAGAAGATAAACTCCAATGCACTGATTATCTAGGGCTCCATTTTCTACTTGGAATTTTAAGCATAATAACAAGGGTTCTGCTATTATATCTCTTTTTTTTTAATTGTTGGGATTTTTTTGGGGGGATGCGTTCTTTATTTCGGACATTCAAGTTCCCATGGACCATATTCATATTAAGCCCAGCGCAATTAGCTACTTAGTAATACTATAGTAGGTCCATGCTGTGATCGATGCATCGTTGGGTAGTTGTTTTCTGAGTGTATTTTTGTAAATAGTTTTGTATATTCCATATATCATTTGTTGTTGGATTTATGAATCAGTGATCTTTGTCCCATCATAATGAGGGGGCCTTAACTTAACAAGCTGTGCTTCAACCAAGGTCTCCTCGTCTTTCTTTATTCTACATTGTACTGTTATGATTATACTCTATTATATTTTGTTACATGTGATTTCTGGAAGGCTAATAAACTTGATACTTGATACTTGAATACTGCAACCACCCTCCAGCCATGTCAGCTTGGACTCGATCCCCATTTTCCCCTCGATATTCCCGACCTCGATCCTTCTACTTTAATGCAAAGTTCAATTTCTGTTTTTGGCGTCATGACTTTCACGGGCCTACAACATGTTGTTTGATATCGGCTTCCTGCGCATAAACAGAAAGAAGCCGTGTAGAAACACGACAACTTGTAATGTTTGCCCAACGTTCTCGATTGAACCCGACTCGTTTCAATATTAACTGAAAAAGGAAATCACGATTCTAGACTATAAAGTGAGCTTTCCTTGGATTTCTTAACCTGCTCGCATTGCACGTCTGTCTAAATTTGCATTGCATTAGGGGCATGTATTTGTCTGTTTATGTCAAATAATAGAGACATGGGGGTATAGTGCACTGAAACGATAGATTTGTCATGGATAAACGTGTATGTATATGGTAACATGAGGCAAGCATGACTTGTTGAAATATACCCTTCAGGAACCTATACTCCAGACTTACCATGGTCAAGGCCATGTACGACACTTCACAATAGACAAACAGGCAATGAGAATAACGGATTCATAAACGTGAACGAATCAAATGTAAAAATACACAGTAGTAAACTAAAATTGAACACGCCTATAAAAAGTGTACCAGCAACTTTTAACAATAGTAATAACTTGATAAACCACATTCCGTCACTAATGCGATAAGAAAAATCTGGGCATTATCATATTTTAACTTTTGTATTAATTTTATTTTATAACAATTATATTGTTGTTTTCACAACAATTTTAAAGGTAGGGGCATTGAGAACATTGTCAAAATAAGAGGAAATCGTTCACATCTCTTAAAATGTAAATTTGTGAAAGATGGGGGGAGGGGTCGTCGTGTATTTAGAGGGTTATTTGCCCCTATGACCCATTTTAGAGTCTAGTCCTACATTAAATAATTCTTATAGTTGTTTCGTTGCCTCCTTTAATTAGATGACCCCTTATGTAAAGTTTACATTGCCCCTAAAATATGAACGTGTCGTGCTATTTCGTTCATCTCTTTTAGATTGCTAAGTGTCTCGTTTTTTTATAAGGAGTGTTAAATAACTGGCACATGTGTCAATTAAGTTCAGGCCCTGAAGGACGTGATATGACGAGTTTAGATTTGGAGCACTTGTAAAGATTAGATCTGCGGATAACTTTATTGACCTTCTTGAAACTTATAGAAAAAAATAAATTTCTTATTTTTCTTGCGTGAAGATTATTCGAATATATTCAATCTCAATCTCCGCCCAATAATCAACACAAACTGTGCAGAGCGAGAAAAAACACCGAGGATTGTAACACCGGAAAATTTTTGAGAAAACTCGCACTTTGTCCCTCTACAAAAAAACGATGTATGACAAATATTGATTAAGG